TTAGGAGTCGTGGTAGTAGAGGCGGCGCAACTATAACGACATGTGAATAATCCCGCCCACTCTAAAGCGGTACTGAACTGCAGTGGAAATGCAAACCGTGCTGAGCCGAACCGTGCCGTGCCGTACTGAGCCGTACCGAGCCGTACTGAGCAGAGTCGTACCACGCAGTGGAAAAGCGCCATAACATCCACCAGCTCCATGATGTCATCATGGAGGAGTGGAAGAGGACTCCGGTGGCAACCTGTGAAGCTCTGGTGAACTCCATGCCCAAGAGGGTTAAGGCAGTGCTGGAAAATAATGGTGGGCGCACAAAATATTGACACTTTGGGCCCAATTTGGACATTTTCACTTAGGAGTGTACTCACTTTTATGGCCAGCGGTTTAGACATTAATGGCTGTGTGTTCAGTTATTTTGAGGGGACCGCAAATTTACACTGTTATACAAGCTGTACACTCACTACTTTACATTGTAGCAAAGTGTCATTTCTTCAGTGTTGTCACATGAAAAGATACAATAAAATATTTACAAAAATGTGAGGGGTGTGCTCACTTCTGTGAGATACTGTATATATTTACCTGAATATTTTTGATTTTGAGATGAAATATGACCTGCATTTGTTTTTGACAGGTTTTATGACATTCACCCAAATAAATAACAGACTAACATTTAGCCTTCATCTTCTGCATATTTACAGTAAGTAAAAAAACAAAACAAAAAAACCCACAATCATAATTTACATTTGAGGACTTTCCCAAAGTGCTTTTCTCAGGTTGAACTCACTTTTAGGAACAAATTTGTTCCCAAAGCAAAATAAAAACACAGTGACCTTGTTCGTTGTCCTGACAAAGAATAATTTGATCTGTCCCCGACTGTGTTTGTCCCATCAGCTCTGTCTCTCTGCTCATATTTCACTGGTGTTAAAGGCTCATGCTGTCGGAAGCTCACTGTCTCATTACAAAACACCCCTCGCTCTCTCTCTCTCTCTCTCTCTCTCTCTCTCTCGCTGCAGTAGGGTTGGTGTGTTATTGCGGTGGGGGTTGGATCTGTGTGTGTGTGTGTGTG